CAGGTAGTCTCTACCATTTGAGCTTACTGCTGCCCCAAGAGTTACTCCAACCTGCCCTTCAACACCAGCCCTGCTGGTGTCTTCCATCTTTTTTTTTTTTTTTTTTAATTAAGTGAAATTCAGGTACCACCCTAGGTCAAAGCAAACTCTGAAAATTTTTATCCTAAAAAAAGAATGGTATCAAGAGGTTCAGCTATCCATCTTTCTACTGGCAATGTTATTGCAAGCAGAAAGGCAGCTTTATTTAGCAAGTGAAGACGGGGACATGCTGTCAGTGGTGCTATAACTCTCCCATTTTAAAAAAAAAAAAAAAAAAAAAAAAAAAAAAGATGGAAGACTTACTGTGGACTGAAAATCTCCAACTAGAAGAAAAAGTTCAATTAAACCTTTCAAAATGTGGAAGAAAGAAAAAGCCTTTACTCCGAGGATGCAGAGCAGCAGCTAAAGGAATCTGGATGGAGCTGACGGCCATCAGAGCCCCTTGGCACCATCAAGTAGTCCAGACTTGCTGACAACATATTCACCTTCTGTAGCACCATCTGCTACTGGCTCTGCTCACTTTGCCAAATAACTCTTCCCAGTACACAAGCTTTCTGCTGCTAATGAGGACACATCTAGCACAAGAACAGGAACCTCAGTCAAACTCCAACAGCATCCAAATTACACTGAAAAAAGATCCAATCACAGACTTTTGGACAGAGAAGCGTGTAAGATCTTGCAGCAAATCTGCCTGGCCAGGCAGGAGAAGGAAGCTGTTCAGCACTCTGAAGGGCTACACGCTAACAGACCTCCAGGTGCCAACTTCAGAAATTTGGGAGGAAGAGAGTCAATTTGTGACTTTCATCATTCTAGCTACTGGTGCAGATGACTGTGACAGTATTATCCATAGTTAATTTGATGAATTTTCTTGTAACATACAGCAAAAGGGAAGATGAGCATAACCAACCATTCTGAGCTTCACTACATTAACACACACTTTTCACTCAGCCCAAATTCTGAGATTTCAAACTGGAGCAGAGGGACTCAGCTTTGAGCATGGCGCTGCCTGCAGAAGTAGATTGCATCCCTTTGCAAATGCTCTCTGGCACGTGTGACTAACAGAAGGTGACAAAATCCTGTCACACTTATCAACTGCTGGAGAGGTCAGGTTGTTCAAGCTGTGTTTGCAAACCTGGTGTGCAAAGTCTGGTATATGGAGCCATGTAGTACAGCTGCCATATGACCCAGCAGCTCTAGGCAGGACCTGTGCAGGATGCAACAAGACTTGCCAGGCAGTTACGAGTTCCTGTGGGAGAAAAAAACCTGACAGTTCATTCTCTGGAAAGTCCTAGATCAGACGGGCTCATGTCTTTGTTAGGGACGAGAAAAGTGCTTCATGACTTCCAGATCCTCAGTTAGCTAGAGCCCTAATTGGTACAAAGTCTTCATTAGTCCTTTGCCTCAGACAGGATCTTCAAACAAAAAGCCATGGTTGGGAAATACAGAAATCTGTAGCAAGGAGCATCTTCTAGGAACAATTCCAGCTGAATTAGCAGAGCAGCAGCAACACAGGCATCCAGGAAGGTTAGAAGAATAGAGATGGCATCTACAACTGTGAAAGACTGAATCTTTCCAAACGCCTGTTGTAGGAGACCAGAGCAACAGAAGACAGAGGAACTTAGCAGGTATCTGAAGAGAGTGCTGTGTAACTGGAATCCAAAACAGTATCACAGCTGAAAACAATTTTCTTTGCAAAAGTCAACATATATGGATCTCAGCTGCAAATGAAAGCTTTTCCTTGACTAACTGCAAAAGGAAACAACTGCCAAGTAAGTTAGGCAAATTCCTCCTACATCAAAAGCTCCAATTCTTATGAAATAATATAAAATAAGACAACCAAACTGAAACACAAAAGAAACCCTCACATATTATTAATCAGTAATTACGGACAGAAAAGCAGTACTGACATCAATGAGATCGCACTTCAGCTCAGAATTTTCCTCTGCAGGAAACTTTCAAAAATCAAGGCAGTATTTTTAAAACATCCAGAATTGCCTCGTTATCATCCTAATGTCTGTAAACGAGACTGTGTTTTGGCGAGTACAGACTATTATTCTAGGAACAGCAATAGGGATGACGTATTCACAAAAATGTCCAGCTCCCAATTCCAAGAACAGACTTGAAATTTCCTAGCAGCAGAATATGCAATATTGGCCACAACGGCCAAACTCACAACAAAGGACTGCTTTGGTAAGTTCTCAGGATGTCATCATAGGTAAGGTGACACTGGAATGAAAGGGTGACAGTAAGATATGGCCTTCTTTGACCTACAAACTTAGGAGACATGGCATAACCACCCAGTACTTTCTCACACATCTTTGGGGATACTCCTGCAATATGGCTGCACCAAAAAGGAGTGGAAATGTGTTCAGTTCTCTCTGGCCTCAACTATACACCCTTTCTGAACGTGTTTTTAACTACAACAGTAATGACACCACCAGCGTCCACCAAAAGATAAGACACTTCTACCAAAGTTGATACGATTAATAAAACAAGTCTGAAAAGGAGACACTACGTTGCTGCAAGAGATCTGTCTAAACAGGGAAAGTTGACTGAAGTTGAGCAGTTGACCACAGCATCTTAGGATTACGGCCAGTGAAAAAAATATGCAGACCTTCAAAGATATTGGAGGGCCTTAATAACAAATAAATAATAAAAAAAAGATGGTGCAATTGTAAAAGGATCAAACATGGGAGTCTCTTGGATCAGCCAAGTGGGTTTATAATTTTATTAAGCCACTCCTGCTGGAGTTCTCAAGCATGCTACCACAGACGATAAAATACTATCCCAAGTGCACTGTTTGCAGTATGATTGTACAGGCTCACTCAATTTCTTAAGTAATTCTAAAGACCATTTCTCTATTACACTAAACATTTGATAAGTAAACACACAGCAGGAAAACCAAAAGCAACACATGCAACAGCAGTTCCTGCATCGGTTTCTCATCACTGTTCCTTGACCAGCCACATCAAGTAATTAATATAGAAAACAACTCCCCCAACTCCAGTAAACACTTTCTGAATGCCTGCCTAGGAAGAAAACAAGATTTGGCCCCGGGGAAATTCACTTGATTTGACTTGCAGGTGTAGAGCAAGGATGGATAAGAAATGATAAAACAGTAATCTAGTAACAGGTCTCAGTGCACCTGCCCTTTTCTTTGTTGTCCAGGTTCACATAGAGATTTGATAGGAAGAAGAAAAATCTGGGTTCTCCCCGCCGCCCCCAAGCCATATACAGAGGGCTGGTTTCTGCATGTCGCTGAAGAGGGTCTCCAGATCACACGGCAAGGCCAAAATTGCATTTGTATATTAGCGAAGCCATTTTGAAGGACATTAACCCAGCCCCTGCCATGTGGCTAGTGTCCACTTTAAAGCAATGCCTGCAATCCTCTTCCCCAACTTGCCTGATGCTAGTGGAAGCCTGGCAAGATACCACTCCTCAACTAACAGCTCCAGGCTTTGGAAGGGTGAGGATACAGATGAAACCTATTGCACGGTGAGGAAATACAGAAGCCAACAAGCTTTCAGTACGCCATTTGATGCTGACAAAGCAGCCGCCTTTATTGCATTAGTTAGGGAGGACATCACCTGAAGAGAGAAGGTGTCTGTGTGACGTATGTACATATATGCATATATTTTTAAGGGGTTAAAATAGCATGTTAATCCCTGTTACTCCCAAGTTATGTGTGACCATTCGTACATTATGAAAGTTTTCATGTGATAAAACAGACGAGTACTCTTTAGGCTGGAAGAGAGACTCTTCTGTAAAACAATGAATAAGATCAACAGGCAGCAGCTAAGCATATAAGACAATTCATTCAAATCAGAGGTTTAAAAAAATAATCCAAAGTAATTTTCTACAAAACAAAATTAAACTTGTGAAGCTCATTGATACAGGATGCTACAGAGGGCAATAGAGGAATTAAAAGGAAACAAAATAAGCTCATAGAAAATAAGCCCAGCATATCCATTAAGACAGAAGCAACCTTCGTCTCTGTAAGTAACTAAACAGCAAAATACCAGACCTAAGGACAACCACCGGTGAAAGACAACCTGTATGTCCATCCATTTCACATGCTACTTGCCTATGCTTGGGCAACCTCAAGACAACGAGCATTACAAGAAATAGGACGTTAGGCAAATACAAGAGTCTCAGGAAGCCTTCTGTCACTTGACCTTGGGCCTCTAAAAATGCAGAAACAACGTACGTTAAAATTAATTCATTCAAGTTTACTCCATTCCCATTTTTAGAGCAAAACCAAACATTCGCATGATATGAAACACAACAGCATATACTGGGTTAAAAAGTGAGGAACAATTATACTAATTAATCTATCCTGATTTCTCATTTGTTGTTCTTAGTTAAGATATTTCAACTTGCTCCAATTGCAATGTCTTGTTAGGACAGAGTATTCAGCTTCCACTGATGAAAACCTGATTTTAAAAATCAGTCCAAGCCCACTCAACACAAGACAAGGCAAAATAAAAATCAAGGAATGTTTCTGGTGCTGAAAGACAGTATTTTGTAGAAACAAAACATGTAGCAATCACGTCATCACCTTTATCATTATTATTTTTTTTAATCCATCACCTACAATCTTTCTTATTTAACAGACTACTGTAACATATACACCTCTGCAAACATTAAACTAGTACTGCCACCACTATTTTTGTTGATGTTTTCAAGCAAAGAAAAAGTCACATTTATTTTTTGTAGTAGCAATAGTTTCTTTTTTATTTTTAATATACTTTAGGAAACAATATACAAAGCTGAGCTTTGCCACCATTTTCAATCGGTGGGTTGCTCCAATTACACAAATTCAGCGTTTTGTGATGGTTAAGAACAGCAGTCAGCACCAGACTTAAACAGTTAGCTACAACACAAACATCCTTCAAAATGAAATGTCATAATATCGACAGGTAAACCAGGAGTTAACATATGACAACTGTTGGGGAGGTGTCTTAAATCATTCTTGTTGAATTTTATATTTCATTAAATATTTTATACACATTTTCCTGTTTACAAGTTTTAAACAAAACCTCCCTTGAGGAATTATTTAAGTACAAAAATGTTCAACAAGAACAGTTCTAATAAAGAGTCCCCAAACAGACCAAATTTTAATGTGTTGACCAAAGGAAATGAAAACCAGTGTTTCTTTGTTTTAACATGTTTATTACAACAGATACAATTCACATCTGACTAGCTTTTTTTTTTTCCTCTTTCCCCTCCCACAACCATGTTAACATGTTCATTGGGCTATTTCCTTATATTTGAGCAAGTAATGTACTTTCAGCACACATGCCCAGCAGTACTATAAGTCCATTCTTATAGGGTGCAAATGGAAATACGTTTCAATAATTTATACAAACAAGTGGGTTATGCTCAATCACTGCAATTTTAAGCTACTGTACACAGGAATGAAAAGATTATAGAAAAAGTGCCATAGCAACAGTGCCTTAAGAAAAGAGAAAATTAGAAGCATTAAAAAAACTGATAAAATCAGATTTAGGATTTCACGGGGAAATGGAACACAGAAAATGAAAAACATTTCTCTGTAAAACAGAAATGGAGAAGCACTGCTCTCGATTTGGTGCAAGTGTGGAAACAGTTGTTTCATGGTATTTTGTACATTACCCAAATTGTTGCAGCCTTAGACACAGATCGCCTGGCGCTTGCACTGAATTTTAGGAAATGAAAGATTTCTGAATGATAAATTAACTAAAAAAAAAAAAAAAAAAAAAAAGCTAATTTTGCAGACAGGTTTACATGTAAAAGGCTAGGTATTTAGCCACCTCAGCATTGATTAGTTTTGGATGTCTAAGCTCTGATACACATGGCTTCCCATGGCTTCACTCTACAAAACATATTTACAACGTGAAGAATACATCTACAAGAAATCTACATTTCAAGGGTTTTACAAATCATTCTTGTATCTTTCCCCTGAATTTGACTCCCTCCTGTCCCCTTCCCCATGTCAACTTTTTTTCTGCCCAGCTCAACGGTCCAAAGTCTACTCAAATGCAGCTCAAAAGTGTTAAGACTGGGCATCAGAGTTTAATAGTTCCTGTACTCAAAACCATGTGCAATTGTTTACAACTTTTCACACCATGAAGGAATTCTGATTCTTTAGCTTTTCAAGTTCTTTAATTTGTTGCCTCAAAAATAGTATCCTGCAAGAGAAAAGAAATAAATTAGTATAATTATACAGAGATATTACATATCTACACAAGTATTTCTACAATTTCAGTGAAAGATGCCAAGCTCCTTAGCTCTATTAATAAGCTTCAGCTTTTAAAATTACTCCCCAATCTGTTCAATCACCTACAAATACCACACGCAGATGCACAGAGACCTGCTGTGTTCGATACCTTAGTTCAGAAAATTAAGTTGCTGTATTTCATTATGACTGATACAGTTACGTTTAAGCCTGCTCTTTGCTTGAATTTAACTCCCAGAAAAAGTGGGACACTGGAAGAGTATGTTGAGTAACTGAATATTCTGAAGAATGGCATTATGCCTGTGTCATGCAGTTTTCCAGACTGTACAACCACCCAAGTGCTCAAAAATTTTTTTAAACAAGTTTTCTTCTAGGTGCAACACTTCTTGTATTTGGCTCTGTTGTTGGCTAGTTGTAGTCTCTGGTTATGGTAAGCTCCAATCTCAAAATAGCTGATCATTAAAAGACTTCTAAGGAAAAAAAGTTGTAATTATACCCAGCTTAGAAATAAATTACATTGCTAGCAACTCCCTTATACATTTTTCCTTCTTCTACTGAACTGACATAAAGAATTATTGTGACAAATGAACATTTTGTTTATGTAACTATTTCCCAGAATTTTTAATGATTATTTTGAAACAGCTTTTCATGATGTGTAACACAAACATGCGAATGAATTAAGAAAATCTTCAGGGAAAGCTGAAGTTTCATATAAATATTCTATAAAGTCCAAAGCAACTTTAACCAATGCAGAAAAAAGCATCCACTTCAGCAGACTTCTGTAGAACACTTTTCAAATACATGTCCAGTTCAATAAAAATGATTTTTTTTTAATGAAAAGTAGGTGAAAAAATTATTAAGATAGACACACAAAAAAAACCAGTAAAAGGCATGGACATAAAATACATCAGTCAATGAGAAGTGCCTTTTCATACGCTGTCAGTTACGGTTCAAACAACACACTTGCTTTGCCTAGAGATAAAGTTCGCTCATAGAACAAATTTAGATAGTTCCTCTGTGCAAAAGTGTAGTAATAATATTGTCATTCAAACGTATTGGCTTTGATAATCCCATGCTTTGCGAAAGCCTCCCCCACCAACTTGTTACTTATGCCATGTATTCCACGTCTTTAGGATTGCAGCAAAAATAAAAGATAGACGTTATCATAGATTCAAAGTCACAATAATCATTATCCATTGACAGCTTGAAGATACACGGTGTATAAGAAACAAGGTGCTATTTAGTAAACTGAACAATGACATTTGACACATTATTTCAATCTAATGTGCACCCAGAGACAGAAATGAAACCTGTAAGAAACCAAGCAGTACATTAAATATACTACAGAAATTGTAATTTATGTAATGAAGTTATGAAATAAAATTTCAGAACAAACGGGTATTTTCCATTGTTTACTAGGAAACATTTACAAATATATTATGGCCTACTTCTGACTACAGATTTACAAATATATTATGGTCTACTTCTGACTAAAGGATTATTTTACTAACCACCAAAACCCAAGAGCTTCTAGATAAAACCAGCTATTTAAACAGCATGTGATGCTATTAAAGCGGCTTAAAATAGTAAATCAGAAGCACTGCATTCAAACTGTAGTGTCACTTGAATGATGTTATCCCACCTTATTAAAAAGGAAAATGAGTATGAAAGTAGATTCAGGATTAAGACTACTGGTGAAGAGTTTCAGCACGTATTGTAATGATGAACTTCTCAATCTTGCACAACTATCTTCAACGACATGGTTGCGTGTTGCTTCAGTGATACACAAGATATCCGCTATTACTGACTTAAGAAGCAGAAGTCTATTTTGCTGTAATCATTTCACTAAAGAACCCCAAGATCTGCTCAAGTGACTCCTACCTAAGTAACGAACAGTTCCTTAGCCTGTGATATCAACAATGCCTGTTCTGGCTTTAGACCTAACAAATGTCTCATGCAAACCGCAGGGCTGAAGACCAATAAAAACCGTGCAGGCATGTACCTATGTGATCTATGCATTATGTATGGACAGATATTTGAGAAGTATGCTGAACTAGTGTGTGTCAATCACAATGCACTAATGTACCTGGAAAGATTGTTCTTTCGTATCCAAGTGAAAATACATACAGCAGTTGCATACCTGGTTCTATGCATTGGATATTAAGAGGTATCGGTGTGGGAAACGGGTGGAATGAACACAGGGGAGACAGCCTGTAAACCGGCAAGTATTAGCATACTTACAAAGTAAGCATGTAGCTCATGCAAAACAATGCCCGAATGGGAATTCTAATACCACCTTGAAAATTACCATTTTGAAAATAAACACAGAGCACGCACTTACCTTTGCTCACGCAAAGTTGCTTGAATTTCACATACTCGAACTAAAGACCTTAAATTCTTTAATTCAGTACAAATTTCTGACATATGAACGCTTCCCATGTTATGGGCTTCCTCACGTAATCTTGATGCCTGCAACAGTTACACACAAAGGTTAGGATTTTGAATCGTGCATTGGAAACAACTGGCTGTAGCTAGAGGATTGCTGGATGAGTGTGTCTTGAAACAGCAAAGCACTCGACTTCAAAAGGGCACGTTAAATCAGAAGTACATTAAATTCTCCACAGAAGCCCATTTAGAATCAGAAATGAACAACACTGGCTGCCAAGAGATTGTCTAACCCAGGCCCATGCTAAGGCAGGGATGCTTTAGATTTCCTTGATCCTAACAGATGTTTACCTAATCATCTTGAAAGACAGTACATGACAGGGCTCCAAGTTTCCAAAGTAATTTGTTCAAGTAGTTAAAAGCCTCTGTCCACTATTTCAATGTTAAGACGTAGTTCTCCCATCTAAATTTAGCCTTAGTGACAAAATTGAATGCCATCTTCTTTCCAGCTACCTTATACAGCAAAAAAAACCTTTGCAAACCTCTTCAGGTGTTCTCCTCCAGACAAACTCCATTATTTTAATATCCCTACTTAGTCGCAGAATCATAGAACAGTAGGGGTTGGAAGGGATCTCCAGAGATCATCTAGCCCAACCCCCCTACCAAAGCAGGTTCATCTACAGTACATCACACAGGACTGCATCCAGGTGGGTTTCGAACATCTCAGAGAAGGAGACTCCACAACCTCTCTGGGCAACCTGTTCCAGTGCTCTGTCACCCTCAGAGTAAAGATGGTTTTCCTCATGTTCAGGTGGAACTTCCTGTGCTCCAGTTGGTGCCTGTTGGCCCTTGTTCTGTTGCTGAGCACCACTGAAAAGAGCCTGTCCTCATCCTCTTGACTCCCACCCTTTAGATATTTATAAAGGTTGACAAGGTCCTATCTCAGTCTTCTCTTCTCCAGGCTAAAGACCCCCAGGTCTCTCAGCCTTTCCTCAAAAGAGAGACGCTCCAGTCCCCTCATCACCTTCACAGCCCTCCGCTGGACTCTCTCCAGTAGTTCCCTGTCCCTCTTGAACTGTGGGGCCCAGAACTGGACACACTACTCCAGATATGGCCTCAGCAGGGCAGAGTAGAGGGAAGATAACCTCCCTTGACCTGCTGCTGGCCACACTTTTCTTAACGTACCACAGGACCACAAGGACACATGGCTGGCTTATGGTCCACTTCGCTATCAGGACTCCCAGGTCCTTCTCTTCAAAGCTGCTCTCCAGCAGGTCAACCCTCAACCTGTACTGGTGCATGGGGTTATTCCTCCCTAGGTGCAGGACCCTACACTTACCCTTGCTGAACTTCATTAGGTTCCTCTCTGCCCAGCTCTCTAGCCTGTGCAGGTCTCACTGAATGGCAGCACAGCCTTCTGGTGTGTCAGCCACTCCTCCCAGTTTTGTATCATCAGCAAACTTGCTGCAGGTGCACTCTGTCCCTTCATCCAGGTCATTGACGAGTATGTTGAACAAGACTGGAACCAGTACTGACCCCTGGAGAACACCACTAGTTACAGGCCTTCAACCAGACTCTGCGTCACTGATCACAACCCTCTGAACTCTGCCATTCAGCCTGTTCTCAATCCACCTCACTGTCCACACATCTGACCCATACTTCCTAAGCTTACCTATGAGGATGTTAGAGGCGACAGTGTCATAAGCCTTGCTGAAGTCAAGGTAGACCACATCCACTGCTCTCCCCTCATCCACCCAGCCAGTCATGCCATCATAGAAGGCTATCAGATTGGTCAGGCATGATTTCCCCTTGGTGAATCCATGCTGACCACTCCTGATAACCTTCTTTTCTTCCACAGGCTTAGAGACAACACCCAGAATGAGCTGTTCCATCAGCTTTCCAAGGATGGAGGTGAGGCTGACTGGCCTGCAGTTACTTGGGTCCTCCTTCTTGCCCTTTTTGAAGACTGGAGTTACACTGGGTCTCCTCCAGTTCTCAGGCACCTCTCCTGTCTGCCATGATCTTTCAAAGATGACGGAGAGTGGCTTAGCAATAACATCTGCCAAGTAATAAATGTCAGGTGGAGACAAGCAGAAGTGTAAATTTAGAAGGTATGGCCTATCCCAAATTTGCGCATTTCTTAAAAGTCTTGTCACTGAACTGGATATATGACTCCTCAACAGCACCAAGGAGACTAGTATAATTACTCTGAGGTCCTGTGTTTCACACTGCAATAAGGCAAGGGGACATCTTGTAAGTGGCACACAAAAAAAAAAAAATTGTTTCAAACAGATCACAGAACCATAGAATAGTTTGGGCTGGAAGGGACCTTTAAAGGCCATCTAGTCCAACCCCCCTGCAGTGAGCAGGGACATCTTTAGCTAGATCAGGGTGCTCAGAGCCCCATCCAACCTGATTTTGAATGTTTCCAGGGATGTGGCTTCTACCACCTCTATCTGCCCTCTTTTAGTTTAAAACCATTACTCCTTGCCCTGTCGCAACAGATGCTGCTAAAAAGGTTGCCCCCATCTTTCTTATAGGCCCGCTTTAAGCACTGGAAGGCTGCTGTGAGGTCTTCTCAGAGCCTTCTCTTCTCCAGGTTGAGATCCTTCCCTGCAGTATTACTGTTCAGTGATGTTACTCTCTGCTATACTAGGTCTGGCTGGGATGGAGTTAATTTTCTTAACAGCAGCCCATATGGTACTATGTTTTGAATTTGTGACCAAACAGCAATGTTTTAGCTACTTCTGAGAAGGGCTTACATAGCATCAAGAGTTTCTCCCCTTCTCTCTCTGAACCCCCCAGCAAATAGGTTATGGGTGGACAAAAGGCAGGGAGGGAACGCAGCTGACCCAAACTGACCACAAGCGTATTTCACACCGTACCATGTCACGTTCAGCAATAAAACTGGGGAACGGTTTTTCAGCTGTTGGCATTGCTCAGGGACAGGCTGGGCATTGGTTGGCTGGTGGCACGTGACTGCTTTTGCATCACTCCCCACCCCCCTCTTACTTATTAAGGTGCCTTTATCTCAATCCATGTGTTTTCTCACTTTTGCCCTTTCAACTCTCTTCCCCATCCTACTGGGGGAACGTGAGCGAGCAGCTGTGTGGTTCTTAGCTGCCTACCAAGGTGCAACCACAACACGTGCTTAAGTAGTTGTACACTTGATTTTTTCTTCCCCAAAATAATGGTATTTAGCATAGGTCTTCATCAACTTCTGACATTTCTCCAGTTCAGAGAAGCACTTTGTGTTCTAATTCCCTACATTAAAAGTTTTTTTTTTTCTGGAGTGTGTGGACATCCAGGAGATGGATGGTCTCCAGTAGCACATAATTTCACATGCTGTCCCTACACAACTCCAAAGCCTTGAGACTGATAGCAAACTATCAATAACAATGTTCGAAGTACTTCTTTTCAAGCTGACCAGTCAAAAGTCTTAAAGTAATCTCCTTTAAAAGGCCTTAAAATCATTTTTACATACGAGATTCTTGTTAAAAGGTGTTATCAGTCTTGCTGCAAATCAGGATATAACGCTTTCCCAAATTGTATTACCAAAGTCTGATACTTTATCAAAAGGAAAAAACCAACCAAACAAAAAACCTCAAAACCCCAAAGAAACCCAACAAACCCAAAAACCTGACATAATTCCTTTCTAAAAGTCCATACTGACTATTACCAGGCTTTTCTTTTCAGGTGCTTGTAAAAATGCGCATTCATCATTTTTTCTACTTAGGTATTGTTCAATACTCAAAGTACCTCTACAATTACTGAGTTGAGACCAGGTACAATTCTGTTTCTCACATTCCTTAAAGATAAAATAGTTGATTATTTTCTAATTAACCACATTACAGAATCACAGGACAGTAGGGGTTGGAAGGTACCTCTGGAGATCATCTAGTCCAACCCCCCTGCTAAAGCAGGTTCACCTAGAGCAGGTCACAGACTGTTTTCCAGTTTTCCATATTAACTGCTTTTTATGAGTTCTGCAAGATAACAGATAGTGGTTCAAGAATTGTTTTAGCTACTAATTAATTACTGCACGGCATATTTCTTCAAGTCTGACTGCTTTGACACATACCGGTCCTAGCTCACCTAATTTATGTACTTATTTTCCAGTTTACTCTGGCATCTGCTCTTACGGCCCAATTTCAATTTAAGCTATGCATCTCATTAGAAATCTGAAGAAACCAAGGCACGGCATATTTTAGCCTCTCCACTTTCATCTAGCTTATCTTCTTCACTATGTATTGCACCCTTTCACTCAGTTTTTCTTTTATATCAAATATTTGACTTAAGTCCCTCAAGGTTACTATGCAAAATTGGTCTACAAACAACACTGTCATGTGAAATCACCTGAAATAGCAGACAGGACAATACAGCATGTAACACTTGGCATAAAGGTATAAGCATACAACTAAGTACATGACTGCCTAGCATTAGCTCGTTTTTTTGATCACTTTATTACTGATAGCGGAAAAAAATGATGAACTGTGTAAGTCTATATTTTCTGCATTATGATATATGTCAATTCAGTACACAGTGAAAGTATCACTATCAGAACTATGGGCCAAGGCCATAGAGGGAAGTGGCTGTGCTGTACCACTTGCTTAAACACACATTCCACAGCAATGGCTCAGTCATTTGATTCGGTACAGGTTGGTAATGTCTTAAAATTGGATTAAAAAAAAAAATTAAAAGAAACAAAACAAGAACACCAGTGTCCAAATAGGGTATCAGTCTAGACTGCGCTTCTAAGAGTCATCTTGCAAGTTACTACCCAAAAGCCTCCAGTGTTGGCTTGAGCCAGCATGCAACCACTCTTCAAATGACCAAAGTAAACTGGGCTAGGTAAGATTAATATCCCATACAAACTGTGTCAGGCAGCACTGCCTGTGAAAGGACTTGAACTAGACTCAGTAACAAATATGGTTCCTTTGAGTAAAACATTCCAAGCAGCTGACGTGCATCCAGTTTCCCTGTGTTACCACAACAGGATACGTTTCATGCAGTTAGTTATAAAATATGGATGGCGATTCTACTGGGATCTCCCATTATGTAAAAAATAGCTCAAAATCAGTCTGAGCCCTCTATATCATCTTAAAGAGTGGGTACAACAAGAAGACAGAGTTCCTTTTTCACTGCGTGGAGCTAACAATTCAGTGGAGTAGTCTCAAGTACTCTGTCACCTAACTCGTAATATTTTCCACATAACAAAAATATCATTATTACAAAAATCCACTGAAATTTATGTTCTTTGTAAATTTCAACAGAACTCTGGCAGTAAGAAAATAGTTACAAGGATAGCTATTTATCTCAGAGAATTTCAAAAGCACTACTACTTCAAGTAAGACTGAAAGTACTCAACTGCTAAATGGCAATCACATGTAAAAACCACAGGTCTGGCCTGATCTCTCTTCCCTCTCCTCTTTTCTGGCTAAGGCCAGGCATTGGGGTTTTATTTAAACACTTTTAATTCCTAGAAAAAGCAACCTGTGTAAGAAAACCAGATTTTAAACTACACAACTTGCACTCTCACAGGGAACAAAGCACAACTGTACTCACCTGCTTTTCTGCATGGTCTGCAGGCCAGCCTTGAACATGCTTTATAAGGTTTTCATTGAAGTGTGCTGCTAGTGTAGGTGTTAATGAACAAGTGGGTCGTACAGATGTATTTTGTGGTGCAGGTGCTGAATTTGATGCACTAGTGCTGGAGGTATGATTTGGACCTGGTGATGGGCTTCTTTGACTACTAGAAGAAAGAATTATTTAAAAAAGTGAGCATTTAAAGACATGTAAACCTACAGAGAAATAAACATTTGAAATTAATTGCTTCCAGCCATAGAAATACATAGAGCATTTAAACCACAAGTAAACCCTTCTGGCAGACCAAAACTGTGCCACTTTTCCACAAACCTCCTACTTGTATGGGAACTGTTTGAGTGCTACAATATAACAGGATTTTTTTTGTTTGGTTGGGGTTTTTTGCTTTTTAATTTTGATAGCTGCTCAAGAGATGTAAGCTGTGCCTACATTTCAGTGTTGGATAGAGAATATACACATGTATGTTCTTCCTTCAAATAGCTGCAAACCTAAGACTTTCAACGATGTCATATCAGATGGAGTCAAGTAGGTTTATTCAACAAAACATTGTCAAGCGTCACAGTAATAGCTAAGAACAAAGCCTGATGTCCTGATCTAAAAATACAGCCATATGGACTTTGAGGAGCATAACCACTTACTAATGCCAAAACACAAACACCTAGGAGGCTTTGTGACACTGTACATCCTCACTTAAAGCACTCAAGAGAACTGAAGTATCACAGGAGTAGTATGTTTGTAGCTTCCAACCTGACTGCTTTACTGGACCACGTTCATGCTTTTTTTCTGGCTCGTGTGTTAACCTGTTGCTGGAGAACAGATGCATGGAGCCACGTTCAGCTGGTATGTGTACTGTAAGGCAAATCAAAACCTCTGTGCCTTGGACAAAGCCTTCGACTGTCCTCCTTCAGATCTCCACGTGCAAGTAAACACGACATTTACATTATCTGAACATTATACCAATACACAGCTTTTTGAATTCTACTTTGCAACTATAATTCCTGGTCAAAAAGTTTTCTAATTTTTACTAAAACACTCTCATGCTGGTCTTGGCATAACAGTCTTTTGCCATCCACAATGCCAAAGATTATGCTATCTACAAAGTATTCTAGCCATCGCTTTAAGCAATGTTGTTTTTTTGGTTTGGTCTTTTTTTTTTCCTGAATTCCTTTAATAATTACCCTCTCCACTTTACAAGATGTATTTCCTCTCTACTTCACAATGCTCCTCATGAATGCGAGGGGTCTTCTTAAGAGTTCCTTCTTAAGAATGCCATCTCCTTATAAAAGCCTAATCCTGTTTCAATGACTAAAAAAGGCGGGTACTGCTTAGGTAAATCTTTGGTAAACCCATATGACTGACTAATCCACAAGGACTCCTGTACTCCCAATTTGCAAATACTCATCCTCCACTTTACACTTGGATGGCAAGCTCTCTAGGTAAAGCATGACTTTTTTGTTTCACTTGTATCGCTTCTCTCAATAAGCCACAACATACCACCTGAACACCTAACGTTAAGCCCAACGAGCTACAGAATTTCCCCTAAAATATTTAAAGATCACCGATACTTGAATTTACTCTCCATGTGTCCAGAAGCCCAGGTATCAGGGCCAGCACAAACACCACAGTCTCATATCACATGGATCCAATGACATATGACACAAGTGCCAGAGCTGCAGCTACACAGTTCTGCTAAGTGTAAGAGTTCATTGCTGCTCTTCAGCTTCAGTATTATCAGCAACAGACTCCACCGCAATTTTTGCCAGCATCAAAATTGCTATTTGGTATATGACCATTATTGCAGGATCAGAAGGCAGGGGTATGTTTCCTCCTTGCAAGTACTGCTGTCCAGGTGATCTGATCTTCTTAGGAAACCAGATCTTGTGTTGGAAGGGGTATATAACGCATGGTGGGGAAGCTTAGAAGCTGATGTTGCAACTCACAGCCTTTTCTACTCCCCCATCCCTTGCAAAAACAAGGCCCCTACACACTTACTTCCCTTTCCAGCATTCATTCAATCACTCCCACCACCCCCACCCCCACTGCCAAAGAAGGATTTTGTTCTATTTTGCTAAGAGGTGGGAGCAGCGCTAGTTATCCATAAGAACACAGACAGGTCAGGATGAAAATAGACTCCTCTGTCCTCTCCATCCTTGTAAGGGAAGACAAAGGAAGCAGCAACCTTGATCGGGACAAAGGAACATCACTAGCACCACAACAGTGATGGCACCTCACAATTACGATGTTCTTTGGCACTACATATACTGAGAAATAGTGGTAGTAAGTACCCAGCCATTACTTATAAGATTATGTTTACAATTACTCTCCCACTGGCAGCAGCTTTTCAACACAGGCCATAGTTTCAGTCCATTTCTTAAAACTTTCTTACCCTTGCCTGCAAGTGATATAAAGTAATACAGAGAGAAAACAAGTTTGAGAGGAATCTTAATTCATCACCTAACCTGCCCTCTCGAGGACTGAAAACATACTAGCATAATGCAACTCTCTTTACAGTCCAATACCCAATCCTGATCACTCACACTTGCAAAGAATTACAGCAAGTTTCCAAACAAACAGCCAACAAATTAAGCACAGCACATTGCTCTGCAGCAGAGACTTTAACCTCATTCCCTTCAGTACCCCCGAACTTGTTGAAAATCTTAGAATATATATAATCAGGGGCAAGCAAAAAGTTAAGGAACAGGTGGGTTGTCCCTCTATAAGGCAAGGGGACCTAGAGATAAAGGACATGAAAAAGATCAGGATAATCGGCAACTTTTTTTTTGCCTGGGTTTTTACAGGTATGGTCTGCCCTCAGGTCTCCCACATGCCCAAGCATATCAGCAGAGTCAGTGCAAGTAAAGTATTACCTACAGCAGAGGAAGAAGTTAAGGAGCAGTTAAGCCAACTGGGCATATGTCTATGCAACCAGATGGTATGCACCCAAGGGTAATGAGGGAGCTGGCCACCGTAGCTCAGATGCTGCATCATCTTGAAGCAGCACAGTGAGCAGGCAAGTTTCCTGATGACGGGGGAAAAAACCCAAATGCTAAAGCCACCTTCAAGAAGCACACTGGGGAACTACAGGCCAGTTGACCTTGATCTCTGGGAATGTTATGGAGCAAGTCTTCCTGGAAGGGGTTCCAGCTACATGAAAGACTAAAAGGCAAAAAAAGAGCCACCGTAGATTTACCAAGGAAAAATTATGCCTGACCAACCTTGCTGACTTCTATGATGAGATGACTGTCTCAGAGGGTAAGGGAAAAGCAGTGATGTTCTTTACTTTGACTTCAGCAAGGCCTGTGCCATCATCTACCATAGTATTCTTATAGACAAACTGTTCACTTATCCAGTCTGTATCTCATATGTGAGGTGAGTGGAAAAACTGAATGAACTGCTGGGCTCAAAGGCTGCAGTCAGCAGTTCAAAGATCAATCAAAAACCAGTGACTAGTGCCGTGCTTCACTGATTAATACTGTTCAACATTTTTATTAAAAACCTAGACAGTGGCACACAGTGCACTGCACTGTCAGTGAGTTTGCAGATGATACCTACTTACTTGGGGGGAGCAGTCAATACGCTGGAGGGCAGGTTGTTGTTCAGAAGGACCTGAACGGGCAGACAGGAACCAAGTTCAAAAAAGGCAAATGCAAAGTCCTGCACCTGGGGTGAAATAACCCCAACCCCACAGAACAGCACAGGCTGAGTGGGTAGAAAGCAGCTTTGCAGACAAGGACCTGAGGATCCTGGTGGATAAGTTAAACCCGAGTCAGCAATGTATCCCTGTAGCAAAGCAAGCCAAGCATATGCTGGGCTCTATTAGCAAGAGCATGGTTGAAGAAAGCAATTCCTCTCCTCTCTTCAAAGCTTACCAGATCCACAGCACTTGGAGCACTGTGTAGTGGGGAGCCCAAAACCAGACAAGTAGTAAACTGCCACACCAGAGGAATTGCGCAGAGGACCACACAGATGACTAGGGGGCTGAAGCACATGCAGTATCAGCAGAAGCTAAAGGTTTATTCAGCCTGGAAAAGAGAAGTCTGGGGGAAGGGAATTGAAGGATCTTCTTACTGTCTTTATCTACCTATGGGGACAGCAGATAGCCAGGCTCTTTTCAGAGACACAGAGTGATAGGGCAAGAGGTAGAGACACAAGTTGCAACAAGGGAAATTCTAATTAGACGTAAGGGAAAAAAACCCCAAACAACAACAGCATTTCACCATAAGCGTTGTCAAACATTAGAAGAAGATGCTCAGAGATATCAAAAAAATCACCCTTACCAATTCAAACTTGCCAGTCATACTTTGAGATGGGACTTGGACTGGATCACAACTAGAAGTCCCTTCCAACCTAAATTATTCTATGTTTGTATGTATACATACAGCATCAGCATACTGATGGTGCAGAGAAAGGCTACGTTAAGTAGAACTGAGGCATTACCTTCAATGTTTATTTGCTCCTCAGTTCTACCAAGGCCAAAGCTCCCCTATGACTTGTCTCCTCTCCATTTATCAACCTGGCTGACTCCTACTTGATCAGTAAAAATCTCTTTAACACATCAGAAATGTTTCAGGAAAAATAAACAAAAATCTGTGGGTTTCTAAAAAAAATTAAGTTCTATCTTAATCATGACTAAAACATACTGTCAAAAATATCCTAGCGTGGCTACATTAGCAGCAGGGGGAGCTATGGATGCAGCAATGATAGTTCCAAACTTCTACATTTTTAAATGCTTCAATAAAGCCAAATATCTGCCTTAGCTGCTAGATGAGTTAAAAGACCGCTTATGCCACAGGTAATGGAATGCTTCCAGAGAGGTAAAAACATCTGTACAAGAGTATGAGAACAGGATGGCTCTGAAATACAGTACTAGAAACTACAACAATCTTACAACCTATGAAAAACGGGAGGAAACATCTCCCCCCTCCAGCAGTTTTGCATTTTCTAAGGTAAAATAACAATATTCCCAGTCCTTTCTGGAAATAAAGGGAAACTAGCAACCTGATGAAACTATTAATTATGGAAGCACTCATTTAGTCCCATTTTTAAAGCAGCCATAATTCATGGTGTGTCTTTGGAATCACCTCTTACAAAAAGACTCACTGTATGCTTACATTGCATTAATTTCCTAACTTAGATGACTGAAATGTTACAACTTTAATTTGTTTGGGAGGAAGCACTGTCTAAGAAATACGTGAATAGCTATTGATAACTTTAAAAATAATTTCAGCTCCACTGACTTAAAACTTTTAACAACAGTAAAAGTAAAGGAAATTTAGTTGTGACTAACTTCTGCACAATGAATCTGTATTTAAGCTGTAGAAAAATGCAACCTTAATTCATAGGCCCTCTTTTTGGACCACCTGACCACAGTTCAGGTTGCTAAGCTGTTGACCATGCCTATTAAAAAAAGTAAAGGGAGTTAACCCTAAGAGCAGTCCCCAGTCCAACTGACTGCTTTCACCTGCACAGGAATAATCTGTTCTATATCAATTCAGAAATATTGCCTGGACACAGGAAATCTTTTGCATGTGAGTAAATCTACATCTAAGCTGGTCCATTTTCACTCCACTCCACTGAACAGAAGAAAATACCAGCCACACAGGTTTTTCCAAAACAACTCTTCCTTATCTTCCATTTTTTGCAGAGAGAAACGCGTAAGCCCACGATGCACAATACGCCACAGTCACAAACGTGTAACAATGAGATACAGGATATTAAACAATACTAATATTGTCATATCATCTTTGATACCACCCTGCACACTCTATTCTGTTTGTGCACTGCCTCCTGCGCCGCCGCCTCCTCAAATATGGGAGAGTGCTACCTGCCTGACCACTCTGCTTCAGCAGTACAGCTGCTGGGACAAGCTCAGTTTCCCTTCTCCAGCAAAACGCTGATGCCAAGTGGCGCAATGGTTTGCAGAGGGCCAGCGGATCCCTAAAGGGAACTTGATGTGCGTAAGGGTAATGCCAGAGTAAGAAGTCCTATAACCCAAGGGGAGGGTGGGCTATGGATTAGCAGGCCAAATGCCCACCAGTATCACTTCACACAGACTCCAGGCCAAGACAACTGTCTTCCTTAGGAAGATTTCGTATGGGGAAAAGGTGATTGGCAAAGGACAAAAGGGCCTGTAACTGAGAACTGTTCCCCAAAACCTCACCGCTCCTTATAAAAAGGTCTAGTTCCCTTATTAAAAAGGTTTAACCGGTTGCCAAGTATAATTCTATTTTTGGTACTGTAATTTAGAAAGATTTAAACAGCACCATCCATAATTATTAGAGACTGGAGCTGGTACACTATGTCTTTATTCTACCCATACAGGAAAAAGAGTTGTAAGTTAGACATCTGCCAAACATTAGAATCAAGTGTTTGTAAGACAGCCAACATTAAAGACTCAAACTTCTGACTTGCTTCTGTTTGTATCCTCAAACTGATCAAAATCAGTGTCTCCAGTAAAGCCAGTCATGGGGACAGGACTGCCAAGTAAACAAATAAAAAACCCATCCCCCCCCAAAAACCAAACACAAATCAACTTCCTTCTCCCTACAAAAAATAGCAAAAACAAATACAGATTTGAAAAAAATCTAACAGCAAGTCGGTGCATCGATGACATGTATCAAAGGTCCCCTTGGTTATTAGTCCCAGAGGGCAGATAAAAGGACCCCATTATTTTATGACCTGGAAAGCACCACCATGTAGCTTCAGGACTGCTGATAAGGAGAGACTGTTGGTATTTGTCGTTGGGTTTATTTTTGTTTTGGTTTATTTTTTACTATCATACCACGCACACCTTATTGAACCACTCAAAAAAATCAGATTACACTACAGCAAGACACCACAAACACCTAACACTAAGCAAATCACATAAGAGTTAAAGCATTTAATCCCGTAACTACACAGAAAGAAACAAAACCTCCAAACTCAGAAATCACAATATAAGGAATCACTTATTGATCCCAGAGTGACAGGGCAGAAATATGAATTCTATTTTTCTTCTGTGAATGGAACTCTAGTGGTGGTCCTAAAATGCAGAATCTACCACATTAGTTCTGTAACAAAGATATTTACCTGCATCCTCTCAGTAGCAGCAAAGTTAAATCGTATGTTCAATAAATAGGAGGCCAAAGAAGAATCCACAAATTGCAACACATACAACACACATTGGATCCAGAGCAGAAAACAGACGACAGCACAGAGAAGTATTTCAATATACCTTGAGCGCTGAAGACTTCGGGGAGAGGCAGGTTCATGACCTGCCTGCTTGTCAGCTATTACCGGCTGCTGAGGTGCTGCCTGTGGAGCTGGTCCTTGCTTAACACCTGGAGTAGCAACCTGGAAAGTTCAAAACATCATTAGATTTCCTCCACAGGAAAACACAAATGTAAGAATCAGAGGAAAACATAGAAATTACAAGTTACAAGACCAGCGGGGTTTTTTTGATACAAGGTCTTCTGTTGACAGAATTTTTATGCTCTTCACAAGGTGTTTTGTGGTTTGGTTTGTTTTTTTTTTTTTTTAATCATCTCTAGTTCCACAGCTGATAGCTTTTTTTACTAAAACAGAGTACTCAGTAGACATAACTGAATCAAATTTAGATCCATCTGACCTGTCAAAATATTGCAAGTTAAAATAGTTCAATCCCATTTCATTTTTGGCCATTATCAACCATGTGAGCACCAAGACCATTTTTAACCTCAGAAGAGCTGTTCATTATTCAAATAAAAATTTTCACTTAAAAAGTTAAAAAAGTTCCCTACTTGAAAATACATCACACAGGGTCAAGAGCAGAATTAGGTCAGAACTGTATTATGACATCTCTATCAGAAATAGAAAAAAAAATATAAGGCATATTTATCAGTTTGCTACTCCCCCTTTTTAACTGTTCTGTCAGTTCTAAACTAATGAATGACTAAAGAATCACCCGCGCCTTTCTTCTGTAGAACACATTCACATTCAAGATATTAAGACACCAGCAGTGAGATACAGCCTTTTTTCTGTGAATTCCTAAAGGACAACAGGATGAAAAGTCTGGGAATATACTAGTGTCCAAGTTACAGTAAATGGAGTTCAAGATACTTCTTTTTTTTTTTTTTTTGCCCCATGTTCCACATACCTCTGTCCCTTTTAAAGTACATACAAGAGAGGAAGCAGCTCCAAAATTTATCCCCACTCTAGAAAGCCAAGCTAACAATTTTAAGAAAGGGTGAGGGAAGAAAAACAGGTTCTAGGGATCCATAAAGACAGAAAACATAAATCAGGCACCCTGTCTGGCATTTGCCAACATCAAGCTGGTGTAGATTAATAACTAGTGGTCATCTGAACCTCCAGAAATTATCTCAGTTTCAGAAACAGACTCCTGTGAACCAAACCACAGATGGCAAGTCAGACAGTATCTGCTAAGGTAAACTCAAGACATAACTTCATTTATTTATAAATACAGAAAATCTTAATGTACTCTCAAACCTATTTATATGTCTAAGAGGAAAAGCCGCCTTCTAATACCATCATCAAAAGCCAAAAATGTCTGAATAGCACATGAAAAGGTCACAGTTCTGGAAAGATAAAGCAAAATCAGTGTAAGATCACTCAGTGTGTTGAAATCAACAGAATTATACTGTTGAGGGGGGTGAAATTGTAGCAGTTCATAAATTCATTTATGAAAAAAGACTACCCAAGTATCTTTATGAAATGTATGACATGAAGAACTTTGCTATTAACACCTGAATTTTGTTCACCCTGTGAGAAGACATAGTTATCAAGGCTCTTCAAACAGAAGGAACCATTTCAAAAGGAAAGGCCATCACAGATAATACAATCACCTTGAAGATCCAAACAGGAAAACTAACCAGCTCCTTGGCTGGTAAAAATAAAACCAAAATGGATCGTAAAGAAAAACTGGAATTTGAGAGATAAATGAGCCACAGGTCTAAATGAATAGGATAAATGAGCTTGACAGGTCTGTGTAACATGCTTTACAGTTATTTTGCAGAAATTCAGAACAGTTTCTAACTATGTAACACGGGCACAGCTAAACAGCAAAATGTGATGCCTAGGATCCTGGAGTCAGACACCTGAGCTGCACACCTCCAGGTAGACATACCAGCTTGAGTTTAAAAGCAGTACAGCAATGTTCATGCACTCCTAAGTAACAGGCCCTACTGTGCAAATGGCACTACACTGCTCCCAGAGCCAGCTCAAGTATCTGTGCATGTGGCACTGGGCTCTGCTTGCACGGTGCCAGTTCAGCCGGGTCTACGCCTGCTGCACCAAAGCACCCTAAAATCGATAAGCTTGTGGTCTGAAACCAAGTGTGTCCTGACACAGGATCACATCTTGATTGTGCATCATTTACCTCAAAGTCCTAGGAGCTGGATACGCTAACCTGACTGACACATCCAAAGGAGTACTAAACCAGACCTGCTCACACTTGAGCTATCATCACCTACGTTTTCTCATCAAAATCCCATCCTACAGAACTGAATTATGTGTATGCAAGAACTATTGAGAAAGTTCTTT